ATGGTGGTGCGTGCCTGTAATCCCAGCTACTCAGGAGGCTGAGGCAGGAGAATTGCCTGAACCCGGGAGGTGGAGGTTGCAGTGAGCCGAGATCATGACATTGCACTCCAGCCTGGGTAACAAGGGCGAAACTCCGTCTCAAAAAAAACCTGTCTCCTATCACAGATGGCATTATTCATTATTGTCTATGAAGAAAATCTCAAGGAATCTACAAAAAAAAATCTTTTAGTATGTTTAGGAAGGTCAACATACAAAAATCAATCATATTTCAATACCTACAAATGAACAAGTGGCTACCAAAATTTTAAAAACAGTACCACTTATAATAGCTCCAAAAAGCATATGATATACTCAGCCATAACTCTAACAAAGCATATATGCAGAATCGATGTGCTAACAACTACAAAATATCAAAGACCTAAATAAATGAGAAGATGTCCTGCTCATGTATTAGAAGAGTTATTATAGTTAAAATGTCAGACTTCCCCCCAGCTGATCTATAGATTTAAGGCAGTTCCAAACAAATCCCAATGTGAGTCTTTGTAGATATAGGCATGTCCATTATAAAATTTATATGTAAAAGTAAAGGAACTGGAATACCCAAAACAATTTTGAAGAAAGAACAAGGTTGGCTGTGCATGGTGGCTCACGCCTGTAATCCCAGCACTTTGAGAGGCTGAGGCAGGCGGATCACCTGAGGTCAGGAGTTCGAGACCAGCCTGGCCAACATGGTGAAACCCAATCTCTACTAAGAACACAAAAATTAACTGGGTGTGGTGGCCGGCACTTGTAATCCCAGCTACTAAGGAGGCTGAGGCAGGAGAATGGCTTGATCCTGGGAGGCAGAGGTTGCAGTGAGCTGAGATGGTGCCATTGCACTCCAGCCTGGGTCACAAGAGCAGAACTCCATCTCAATAATAATAATAATAAAGAGAAAAGAACAAGGTTAAAGACTCATACTATCCGATTTAAGACATATTATAAAATAAAACCACAGTGATCATAAGAGTATAGTATTGAGTAAAGGATAGATGCAGAGATAAATAAAACACAATGGAGATTCTAGAAATAGATCCATAAAACAGGGAAGTTTTAATGAGTTTCACTGAGGAATAACTGACTTACAACAAACTGTACGTATTTATAGTATAAAGGTTGATACATTTTGATATATGTATACATAGGTAAAACCATCAGCCTAATTAAAGTAATGAACATTTACATTATCCCCAAAAGTTTCTTTGTGTCCGTTAGTAATCCCTTCTTCCCACCCCTCTCTACTTCCCCATTTCATCTCCCGGCAATCATTGATCTGCTTTATATCGTTTATATTAGTTTATATTCCTTGAAACTTCATATTAATGGAATCATACAGGATGTACTTTTTGTCTTGCTTTCTGACCTCAACGTCATTCTTTTGAGAATCATCTATGTTGTAGCATGTTTTAATAGTTCATTCTTTTTTTATTACTCTGAGGTATTTAATTGCATCCATGTGCCATACTTTGCTTATCTGTTCATTCAGGTGTACACTGTTTTGGCTACAAATAAACCTGATATGAACACTCATGTACAAGTCTTTGTCTGAACATATGCTTTCATTTCTCTAAGATAAATACCTACGAGTTGGAAGGGCTGGATTATATAACTGTATTTAACTTTTAAAGAAACTGACAAACTGTTTTCCAAAGTGGTTCTTTCATCTTACATTCCCACCAGAAGTGTATGATTGTTCCAGCTCCATCACACCCTTGCCAACACTTAGTATGGTTAGTCTTTTTAGCCAGTCTAAAAGGTGTGTGGTGTTAACTCATGGTTTTAATTTTCACCTTTCAAATATTGATGGTCTTTTCCGAATGTTAAAGATTTTTTCATATGCTTATTTGTCATCTGTTTATCTTCTTTAGTGAATTGAGTGTTCAAAGTTTTGACAAAGATATGAAAACACTTCAACAGATAGTGCTGGAACAATGGTATATTCATCTGCAAAGTTTGAATCTCAACCTATATGTCACATAAAATATACAAAATTTAACTGTAAATGAACCATAGACCTAAATGTAAAATTTAAAAACTCTAAAACTGTTATTTTTATGTGTAAAAAAAAAGAGAAAGTCTACTGTGATTTTGGCTCACAAAACAAGATTTGAAAAAAGATAAACTAGAATTCATTGAATTAAAAACTTTTGCTCTGTGAAAGACACTAAGAAAATGAAATGATAAGCCAAATATTTGCAAATCACATATCTGAAAAAGGACTTGTGCCCAGAATACATAAAGAACTCTCAAAACTCAACAATAAGAAAACAATACTTTTTTTAATGAATAAAAAATTTGAACATGCATTTCGTCAAAGAAAACATATAGATGGGAAATAAACATATGAGTTGTTCAACATCATTAGTCATTAGGGAAATGCAAATTTAAAACCACAGTAAGATACCATTACATACCAATTAGAATGGTTAATATAAGAAATTCTGATAATACCAAGCGCTGATAAGGAGGTGGAACAACCAGAACTCTCATATGTGACTGGTTGGAATGCAAAATGGCACAGGATGGGCACTCTAGAAAGGGTTGATATTTTCTTATAAAATTAAACATATATTTTGTCATTTGACCCAAAAATACCATTTGTAGGTATTTCTTATACAGAAATGAAAGCTCACATTCACACAAAAATCTGTTCATATTAATGGTGGCATTATTCAGAATTGCACCAAATTGAAAACTACCCAAATGTCCTTCAACAAATAAATGGATAAACAAATTGTGGTACATCCGCACAATGGAATACCACACAACAATAAAAAGGAGTAGGCTACTGATACACTCAGCAAAGTAGGTGAATGTCAAATGCCTTATGCTAAGTGAAAGACACCAGTCTAAAAAGATTTATATTGTCTGATTCCACTTGTACGGTTGTCTGGAAAAGGCAAAACTATAGGAAAAGAAAACAGACCCGTGATTGCCAGGGGGTGGGAGGAAAGCTGACTGACTAGAAAGGGCAGCATGAAGGAATTCCATTAGATATTGAAATTGTTTTGTATCCTGCTTGTGGTGGTTACAAGGCTCTATGCATGTGTGAAATATCACAGAACTGGACAACAATGGGAGTGAAGTTTACTGTGTTAAGTTTTTTAAAGTAATAAAAATGATTGATTTGTGGTTTCAGGTGTGTATGCAGCCTCACCTATCCTTAGAAGTTCCCTGAACCTGAAGTGCTTGGTGCATAAACTAAAGGCCAGTGTGACTGGAGCTCAAGAGCCTGGGGTAGAGGGTCACACCGCGAGGGCAGAGAGAGGGGCAAGGGCAGCCCATGTAGTGCCGTGGAAACACTTGGAGAGGCATCTATGCCTCTTAAGATCATTCTGGCTACTATGTGGAGAATGAGTCTATAATAGTAAATTACAGAAAAGGTGCTTTTTCATTTTTAAAAAGTGATTAAAGAGAAAAGTAATCATATTTTGAGAAGGGAGATCTAAATAATGGAAACATTGTGCTGTGAGCGAGGACTGAGAAGGAGAAGAAAACAGTTTGGCCTTTAAAATGAGGTTTAGTTTTGTGGTTAGAATTTCCTTGTTTGGCCAGCTCCAGCGGCGCAAGGACAGGGCTTCTTCCAATGTGTTTTCTTGGCCTTCTGTTTTTTTCAGAATAAACAAACGTGGTGTCTCCAAGCTATTCAGAGGGTCCCAGGTATGCAGGGTAGCCCGATCCAGACCACAGAAGCTTTCTCACAGATCACAGCTTGGGCCCTGTTGCTATAAACACAAGATACTGGAGGCCTGAGCAAGTCTGAACACTTCCCGGAGCTGTTTTCTATGCCATCCCAAGTCCTCATGGACGAATGAGGCTAAGCCATGGAGAACAGAGCTTCATGGGCAGGGCTAGCACCTCTGACCTCAGAAACACTGGAAAATGAGTGTGGTCAAGGCTATTGGGAGCCCCATGAGTCACTGCTTGAGGTGGTTCAACATGTGATGGGTGGCACTGGAAACAGGAGGGACAGTGGAGAGCCAGCACGGGAGTCTGTTTGCTGGACCCTCTGGCTGGCAACAAAAATGCCAACCCAAACCCCCAGGCCCCTTCGTAAAATGGCTGCAAAGACATTAATCCTGATTTTTATTTTTTTATTAAAAGAATTTTTTTTGAGACAGAGTTTCATTCTGTTGCCCAGGCTGGAGTGCAGTGGCATGATCTGGGCTCACCTCCCAGGACTGCTTGGACCTCCACCTCCTGGGTTCAAGTGATTCTCCTGCCTCAGCCTCCAAAGTACCTGGGACTACAGGTGCATGCCACCATGCCTAGCTAACTTTTTGTATTTTTAGTAGAGATAGGGTTTCACCATGTTAACCAGGATGGTCTTTATCTCTTGACCTCGTGATCCACTGGCCTCAGCCTCCCAAAGTGCTGGAATTACAGGCGTGAGCCACCACACCCAGCCTGATTTTTAAAAAGAGAAGGACCTCAGCCTGAGCTGAGGGAGGTCAATTCCTCCACCTTTGCGGTTACGGGATAGCTGCAAAAAATTGTGAGATTATTCAAAATCTGATAGACTGTGAGCATAAAAAGAAAAATGTCTCAAAAAATGCACAAAAACAAATTTTAAGAGTAACCTCTACTAATAGCAATCTTTTATGTAAGAATAGAAGGTTACCTTGGGTAATGGGGGCACCAAAATCTCAGAAATCACCATGAGATAAATTTTCCATGCAACCAAAAAAATAATAGAAGGATAGTTTCATAAGATAACCAAAAAGCTTCCACGTGAATATCAAATGACTGCTGGCATCATGCTCAAAAGGAAAACACTCATGAGCATTTGCTTGGCATCAGAGAAAAGACAAAAGTTGGCCGGATGCG